GGGGAGGCCAAAGAATAAAGTTGGGCGAAATTTATGGGAAGATTAGGAATTTTGGTGGGACACCAAGGGGGTAATAAGGGGTGAAGGAAGGTGAAGGGATGAAGGTGGGCAGGAACCAAGAGGTAAATTTGGTAGTTCAAGGGAAGGACCTAGGGAAATTAAGGAGAATTTGCAATATGCATAGAGAGAATTTAGGAAGAGAAAAGGTAGACGGGTAAAACCACGGAATGAATACGGAAAACATGAGAGAAGTTAAGAGTTTAAGAGAAATTTTGAGGAAAAATACAGGTTTTGGCAAAATTAGCAGGAGAATTTTGGAAAAACGAGAATTTGGTTAAAACAAAAAGAGAATTTGGGGCAAGAGGAGACCTTTGAAGGGAAGTAAAGGAGCAGTTACCAATGGAAACAGCAGTCAGAACATCAGACGTCCCATAGCACTGGGCAAATCGGCTGCAAAGGACCTCTTTCAAGTGCTGAAGAACAAAGATGTCTCTGAGGACTGTGGTGCGCCACATACAAGCCGTGATGTCCTCAGTCGCCTCATAATGCATGTGAGAGCTGGACAATGAATAAGGAAGACTGAAGGAGAATTGATGCTTTTGAGCTGTGGTGTTGGTGAAGAATACTCAAAGTACCGTGGACTGCTAAAAGAATGAACAGGTCTATCCTGGAAGAAGTGCAGTCAGAATGCTCCTTGGAGGCGAAAATGGCCAGACTTTGGTCATGTTGTCAGAAGGGACCATTCGCTGGAGAAGGATGTCATGCTTGGTAAGGCGGAGGGTCGATGAAAGAGGGGAAGGCCCGATCACAGTGGCTGGAAGCCAGAAGCAGCCGCAGCCCATCTCAGCTCAGGAGAAATGGCAGCATTAATGCTCTTGTGGCATTTTCCTTCAGTTGGGTATTGGGTTGACTTCTCTTCTGCTGGGATGTGCCTTAGAGGATTATGGCGAGTACTGGCCCTTGTTCACCCTGATATTTCATGCCATTTTCCCCATCCCCCACTTTGTTGCCAAAAGAACAATTTATGACTCAGATGCAACAAGGAGTGCCTGTCGGGAACTAGCATATTTCTTCATTCCTGGAATTGTCCTTTCTGCCTTTGGATTTCCTGTTATTCTTGCTCAGGTGGCTGTGATCAAGTGGGGAGCTTGTGGCCTAGTGCTGGCAGGCAATGCAGTCATTTTGCTTACAGTTCAAGGCTTTTTCCTCATGTTTGGAAGAAGAGATGATTTTAGCTGGGAGTATTGGTGGCACTTTGTTGTGAAGGAATGGAATTTCTTAGAATTCCTACTATATGTATATGTGTACACATATGGCATTTTACTAGGAAATTTAATATGCTGTTTTTTGATACCGTTATATCATGTTCACTTTAAAGAGGACTAAATGCATAAAAGATTAGTTTTATTCCCAGCAAATAAACCTAATGCCGTTGGGTCAGTTTTGACTCACAGTGACCCTGTACAGAGGGGGACTGCCTCACAGGGTTTCCAAGGCTGTCATCTTTATGGAAGTGGACTGCCATATCTTTCTCCTACAGAGGAGTACATGGGTTCAAACTGCTGACCTTTGGATTAGCAGATGAGTGCTTAATCACGATGACACCAGAGCTTCTTCCCAGCAAATAGACCTCTCCATACTCAAATTGAATTATGTTACTGGATTTTTTCACAATAACACACCCACATAAATAATGTGCCCACCCACATATAATAACACTCAGCGTAGCACACTTACAAAAATAGTGCAGGGAGGGTTGTGGGTTGGCAAAAAACGTAACGTGTGTGTTATTTGTGTAAAAATATGGTACTTATTTAGCTGTTCATATGGTCATGGTGCTCTCAGAAATGTATTGAGTTAGTGTGGTGGACAGCAAAGCCATCTAGCTACACCTTGTGTCTGGGGATGTGCTTAGGTAGGCAGATGACCCTGGAGCAAGCCTCACTGCCACTTAGCACTTCCAAGACATTTATGGCCCAGAAAGACAGAAATGGCCCTCTCTGTCTGCTGTCGACTCTTGCTTCTCAAGAGTGTGGTCCACG